TCTTCTACACTCACTAGCCCACCCTCATGGAGGCTGAATGAAGAGCCTGCCTCTGGATACCCAAAAGGTGGCATAAGGTTTGGCTGGCCCAAGAGACTCCTCTTCCCTCCTGGTCCATACAATCACACTTCTATGATATGCCAAAGAGCCCGTTTTTGCCTGTAAGTTTTTAGAAAATGCTTTTCAATAACTTTATGTTTTCTAGGACAAAGGCTATTTATTTCTCACACTCCTAGCCAAGTTCACAGGAAATGGGTCTTTTGTCAGAAGAGGCTAACCATGACAGAAACCCGTGTTATAAGTGAGATTACCAAGGATCACTTGCAGATGGTGTTTTTGAGCCATTTCACTCTTTACAAATGGATCCCAGACTAGAATGTTCATTCAAGGACAAGCTGTGCTTTCTGCTGCTCTGTAAGCATGATCAGAGAATGGGAGTAGGAGAGAGCAATACAGGAGGAGCTGAGGTCAAAATAGAAGACAGAAAGTCAAGCATATCTTGGAAATTGTCTTGGAAATTGATGGCTGTATCACGTCAGCTTCATTGATGGTGCTGGGACTGACCCATCACAGCTGTCAGAGCTGGAAGGGAGCTTGGAGATCATCCTGCATAATCTATTCATTTCTCAGATGGAAAAATTGAGCCATTGGAGATAAAGTGACTTGCCCAAAGTTAGGCAATTAAGACTCCCCCCTTCTAGTCCAATGCCCTTTCCATGACACCACAATTATTTCAAGGTTATGGAATGGTAAATGGCTTATAATTTTTCTATTTTCAATCTAATATATGATCTATTTTACATATATTATTTTTACTAATGTGAAATGTTCTTGAGCAAGAAATCAATTCTTTTATTTTAAGCCAGTGAGATTTTTGAGGCATCATAGCATTACCTGCCTGTCCTAAATAATGCGTGTGCCTATTGAGATGATTATGTACTTTTTCCTCCCTTAATGTATTTATTATATTACAATATAAGATTTTTGGATGTTGAGTTATCCTTGCATTCTTGCGATAACCATTATATTATGGTGTAGAAATATATATATGATGTATTTGATATATATATGTATATATAGTACACTTAACTAATATTTCATCTATTTTTGACTCCAAGATTACAAGTGAGATTGGTCTATCATTTGCTTTTTTGTCGTGTTCTCATCCTATTTTGATATTCTGTTATTCTAGATTCATAAATTAGCTAACTTTCCTCATTTTCTATTCTCTGAAACAGATTGCTTAAGATAGAGATGGCCTATTCCTTGAGTTTTGAGCAAAGGGGAATTGTAGCATAGAATGAAGTTGGAGAGGTGAGGAGGGGCCAGATAATTTAGGCATCTTGAAGGCTACTGTAAAAATTTCACATTTTATTCTAATGACATTGGGAAGCTATTGAAGGACTTAAGCTGCTAACAGCATTATGCTCTGTTACGTACTTTAAATACAGTCATACATTGCTTAATGATAGTGATATGTTATGAGAAATCCATTGTTAGGCAATTTTGTCATTGTGCAAGCATCATAGAACATAGTTACGCAAACCTAAATGGTACAGTCTACTACACACCTAGGGTTTATGGACTAGCCTATTGATCCTAGACTACAAACCTGTACAGCATGTTACTCTCCTGAATACTGTAGGCAATTGTAACACAATGGTAGGTTCTTGTGTATCTAATCACAGAAAAGTTACAGCAAAACTATAGTATTATAATCTAATGGGGCCACTGTCATATATGCAGTCTGTCGTTGACCAAAATATCATATATCACTGTGTCCATTATCTGAAGAATGTATTAAGGTGGTTAACAATGAAAGCAGAAATATTTAGACTACTTAAGCAGTCAAGGTAAGAGATGACAGTGGCTTGGGCTAAGAGGTGACAGAGGAGGTAGGAGAATTGAATTGCCTTGATGTGATATTTATTTAAATATATATTGACAAGCCTTGTTAATGGATTATATAAAAGAGTAAGGAAAAGGGAGAGATTACAGTTTGCTTGAATGAAACCTAGGCTTTCACCTGTGTAGCTGGGTAGAGAATGTCCTAATTACTTATATGGAGAATTCTAGAAAAGGAATAATTTTGGGAGTGTAGGTACAGAAACCAGTAGTTCTGTTTCAGAACTGAATAAATAGAAATGGCTATTAAAGGAAATTTGAGTTTGGAGCTTAGGAGAGAAATCAGGATATCATTGGTCTATAGATGGCATTGAAAGCCATGGAACTGGATGAAATCACCGAAGGAGAGAGGTGTGACAGAGAAGAGGTCCCTGGGGCAGGAAAAGAAGGTGAGCCAACAAGAGACAGAGCTTATCCTCCATGGGACTTCAGTTGTTCTCTAGTGTTCCTATTTGGAGTCTGGATGATTCTCCACGTACTTGGGCTGTGAGCATTCAGAAACTTGTTACTTTTGTTAGGCACAGTGTTGATGCTTAATAAATAAAGGTTTGATTGATTCCTAAAAAATACTGTTATTTCTGGGGCAGATGCTTCGGAATCAGCAGGAGCTCTTATAGACAACTTCCCTGGCCTCTCTCTTTCTCTGCAGTGGCTCAGTGCGGGAGACGTCAGGTCCCCTTTCCTTAAGTATATCCTGGCCTAAATGTTCTGCTTGTGTTCAAGGTAGAGTTGTGTCATCCATGTTTGGGAGTCCATATCATGCTTCCGTGGGATGAGGAAGTGGGTATTCAACAGGATAGCATCTGGTACACATCACATACAGGCCCTGTGAGGGAGAGGCAGCCTCAGGCCAGGACAAATCTGAAGGCCTTGAATATCATTTCCCTCACCCAGGGCAGGGATTGTTAATCAGTCTCAATATTCTGCCCGCTGATCTTTCGGGTGCTTTCAGCTCTTTCTCAACACGAAGTATTCTGGTTGGCTGAACAAAAACAAAAACAAAAGCTTTTCTGTCAATCAGGGAATAGACAGATGTTGGATTTAAGAGCTGGGGTGTTTGGGGGACTTCAGTGATATGTGTTTAGCTGCTCAAAATAATCAAAAGATACACCTCCAGGATTTTGGCATGCTGCAGGGTTGGCTCCCAGGCTAGCCTGAGAACCTTGAACAAATCTTGAGAAGATATATTGTCTTCCAAATATCTTGTTAATGGGTTGGTTCTATTGGTGAAAGATAAATAACACTGATTTTTATACCTTGAAAAATTAGCCCTGGAATTACTCATAGGAAAAAAAGTTTTTTTCCAAGAGTCTAATATTTAAGGATATTGGAAAACATCACCTGTGTCAAGAAGATTGAAAGCTGCAGAATGGTTGGATAAAGTACAATAAGAGAAAACTTACACCGTGCAGACAGAAACTTAATTTAAGTTCCTAAGCTCTTTACCATAGATTGTGTATAGCCTTTCAATTACAGAATTATGTGTTGGTGGTGAGTTCTTATAAAATTCAAAGTTGATAGGCATAATTAGCTAAATCAGGAACGAGTTCCTAAATGTTTTTCTATAAATTACAGAATTCTATAAATTAAGTAATTTAAATAAACATTTTTTATTCCTTCCTTTTTTTTCCTTTTTCTATTTGTTTCTTTTTAAAAGCAAGTGTTAGGTTTGTGGAAATTTGGTAGTGCTAATGCTTGATTAACTGGAAGGGCTCAGAAATATTTGTAAGTAGAAATGATGGATAATCAAATAAATGGAGAATAAAATAACTACAAATGATTCTTCTCTTGGCATGAGCGGATGCCCTCTTACCTTAAACAAGATAGACTCTGCCTCTTCTGAGGAACTTCAAGGTGCTGACCAGCAGATACATTTAAGACACCATGTGACAAAGACCTCTCTCGTGATAGGTAATCCATGATAATACATACTAAATGTTTCTTGGTGTGCAATGAAGGCTAAAGCAGCTTTTCACATAGTCACACTTCAGCAATGACCACCATAGCCCCTTCTGTCTCTCCAATGTTCCAAGCTAAATAAGTCCCCTCTGCCACAGAGGTCTTCCCTGGTACCACCATAACTCAAAATGAATTCAATGAGGGAACTTATTCCTGGTGTCAGTTTTCTGTCATTTTTCGTATTTCATGCCAGTCTTACCCCAATTTACATTAAAATCATATTTTAAGTCCTCTTAGGGAAATGGTAGCATTCACTTTTCTTTTTCTTTTTCTTTTTTTTTTTGAGACAGAGTCTCTCTCTGTAGTCCAGGCTGGAGCACAGTGGTGTGATCTCGCTCACTGCTACCTCCGCCTCCTGGGTCTCGGTTCAAGCAATTCTCCTGCCTCAACCTCCCGAGTAGCTGGGACTACAGGCACGTGACGCCATGCCCAGCTAATTTTTGTATTTTTAGTAGAGATGGGGTTTCACCATGTTGGCCAGGCTTGTCTCGAACTCCTGACCTCAAGCGATCCACCTGCCTCGACCTCCCAAAGTGCTGGGATTACAGGTGTGAGCCACCATGCCCGGCTGATAGCATTCAGTTTTCAAATGATTTCCTGGTATGTCATCTCATTTTGTAGTCAAAGAACATAAGAATTGGAAGTTATTTTGCGGGCACCTAGACAAGCATCCTTAGTATAAGAACATCGCCTCTACAACCTTTCAAACTGGGGCCATTCAACTTCCCTCAGACACCTTCACTGATGTGCAGTTCACTCCTCAACTAAGGCCACTTTGAACTGCCCTAACTGTTAGAAAGTACTTCCTTCTGTTGAACTGAAATCTGTCTGCCTTAAACTTCTACCTATTAAATTAAAATTTGTCCTCTGGGGCTTGGCTGTTATGTTTGATTCTTTTCCCACAGAAGAGTCTTTTAATGTTTTAAGAAAATGATTGCAAATCACCCAAGTCTTCTCTTTCAGGGACAAAATATCTTTTATTTCTTCCAGTCATCAGAGTGACTTTAAGCACCTTTGCCATCCTTATTGCTTTTCTTCAGCTTCATTAAGTCACTCCTTCAATGAACATCTACTTTGCTCCTGCTGTGTGCCTGGCACTGATCTAGGCACTGAACGTGCAAGAAAGGTGGAAACAAGACAAAATCTCTGTGCTCCCGGATCTTACATCACAGAGGTGGGGTTGGAGCATAAATGAAGGATTTAAAGCCATGGCACATGCCATCCAGGATGTTTTAGACATGTCTGCCAAAGTATTGACGGGCCCGTTGTTTTCTAACACCTCTCTTCATTGCATCGGTACTTCCCTATCACTATATTTCTAGAAGTGCCATTTGTGCTTATGTTATCTTATTTTGGAAGATGTGTGCTCTTTTTGAACAATATTGAGTTTGCTCTCAACCACAAGCAAAAACCCAGTATCTTTTCTCATTCAGACTGATGTTCAGTTATATTTTGTCCATGCTGTTCTTAGTGCTAATCCAGCCCTCTCTGTTTGTTTTAGTCAGTTCCAGCTGCTATAACAAAATACCGTAGACTGGGTGGTTTATAGACAACAAATATTTATTTTTCACAATTGTGGAGGCTGGGAAATCCAAGATCAGACTGCCAGCAGATCCAGTGTCTGGTGAGGGCCCAATGTCTGGTTCATAGATGACCATCTTTTTGCTGTGTCGTCATGTGGTAGAAAGGTTACAAGGGAGCTCTCTGGGGTCTGTTTTACAAGAGCACTAATCTCATTTATGAGGTTACCACCCTCATGACTTACTTACCTCCCAAAAGTCCCACCTCCTAATACCGTCACTTTGGGAATTAGGATTTCAACATATACTTTTTGTAAGGATACAACATTCAGACCATCACACCCACCGAAGCATAAGTCTTTATTCTTTATTCTTGCTAAATTTCATCTTACTTGTTTCAGCTCATCTTTCAGCCTGCCCAGATCTTCCTGGGTCTCCATGCCATCAGCTATTCCTCATAGCTTTGTGCCACTTATACATCTGATTGACCGTGTGAGTTCACTGTGCCCAGGCCCAGATAGGACAGGGGCATTCTGAGGGCAATGCTTCGAGTCCTCCTCATGGAGCTCTCCTTTCCAGTGGGTCCCGCTCGGTTCATCAGTGCTGTTTTTGCCAGCCTCACTCAGCCTGTTATGAGTCCAATGAACTGTTACTCAACCCTGTTTTACCAGTACGTTTTCAAAGCTAAAGCAAAATAAACTGTCAAGTGCCTTTCTGAATAATATATATTGCCTTAATATAGCCCTCATTTGACAGTTTAGAGACCATATTTAAAGAGGAAACGAGGCTAGTCTGGCATGAGGTGTGGTCGGTGAGCATTCACAGTGGCTCATTGTTCACCACTTTTCTCTGTAAGGATTTAAAACTCATCTAATTACTGACTGGTTAAAGCTCATACTTCCCAGCCGGGCACAGTGGCTCATGCCTGTAATCCTAGCACTTTGGGACGCCAAGGCAGGTGGATTGCCTGAGCTCAGGAGTTCAAGACCAGCCAGGGAAACACGGCGAAACCCCGTCTCTACTAAAATACAAAAACTTAGCTGGGCATGGCAGCGTGTGCCTGTAGTCCCAGCTACTAGGGAGGCTGAGGCAGGAGAATTGCTAGAACCTGGGAGGTGGAGGTTGCAGTGAGCCAAGGTTGCGCCACTGCACTCCAGCTTGGGTGACAGAATGAGACTCTGTCAAAAAAAAAAAAAAAAAAAAAAAAGGCTCAAACTTCCCAGCATAGACTGCGGGTTCTTCATAATCTGTCCGCAAGCTATAGACCAGCTTCATTTCCATCCCCCAATCCCCAAATGTTACTTCTTCTCTTCAAAGTTAGCCATGCCAAAGTTCTGCAGGCCATCAAACCTTTGCCTTTATTCATGCTTCTGTGATTTGGCATGTGTTATTCCACCTACCTGAAATGCTGCTGTGCTCTTCCTCCTCATAGTCCATCTGGAAGATCCCTCATCAACTTTTAAAGACCCTGCCAAAATGTCCCCTTTTTATGGAAAATGTACTTTCCTAACACTTTGTATGCACATGCACTTAACACATTGCACTACAGTGATTTATACATCTGTCTCCCCTACCTGCCTCTGCCATGGGAAAGGTCCATTCATTCATCATCAAAGACTACCATGATGCTTGGTGTGGTGCAGGAGCTCAGTAAACATTGTTGAATTCTATTATAAAATTTTCCCGTGGATGGGTTCTGGGCACCACTCCAGTTTGTGCATCCATGTTCTCCCTCATTTCAGGCAAATTGGCTCTATTTTGCCATCTTTTTTCCTCCACCGTGCTTTAAAAATTGTTAAGGATTTCATTTCCAAATTCTCTCAGTGCCAATGGCTGGGACTGCTCTGAAGCTGGTGATGAACACCATCGAGCACCCTTTTACTATTTCTTCCCTTTTTTGAGGTCTCAGCTGCCTCTTAGAGAGTTGCCTCTTCTCACATAATGTGAGGAACACCGTATCTCAATCTAAAGACTAGGGTGTTAGGTCCTGGCTCTAATTCTGTCTCGGTGTGTAACCTGGAGAAAGTAAATTCACTTCACCAAAGCCCAATTTCTTCATTGTAATTTGAGGGTAATCTCCTTCATTTTTATTATTTTATTATTCTAATTATGCCTTCGATCATCTTCAATGTAGACTGTCCTCCTTGGCTAGGAATTTGGAAACCAAATAAGTGATGAGTTCCTCTGTGGTTTTTCACCTTCGGGGAAATGACTCTTGTCGTCCGGCTGCTGGAGCTCTGCTCCCATAATCTGCATGGTAAGAGCCTCAGGTATGACCTGTTCTTGCTATGCCTTGCCCTCCTATGGGGACACTGCCTCTGTCATCTCTTACCGTGTCATTCAGAGCCAGTCACCTGGCCTGTTTCTATACTCTGGACAACCACACACTACTTGCTGGATGGACTGTTTTCCATCATTGTAGCTACAGCTGCTCCCAATATCTGCTCCACAGAATTGGTGGTTAATTTCTAGGCCACTGCATCTCTTGATATGGTCAATATGACTACTGCCAGACCATCTTTCCAAATATTTAATTTGCCTTGGAATAAAAAGATTTTCACAGCAGAGCAAGACAAGGCAGATAATACAAATTTTGTTTTATGGCTAAGGAAACTGAGGCTTAAAATGGTCAAACTACTTGTCCAGTGCTACCTCGATTTTAAGCAGTGGAGACAGGCTAAAGTCAGACATTTTGACACCTTCTCTAGTGGTGTTCTGTCAAGTCAAAAGGGCAGGAAGAGTCTCAACATTTTCGGTATTACTTCACAAACATTATACCACATCTCATTCGTAATATGTATTCAATTAGGCCAGGCGCAGTGGCTCACGCCTGTAATCACAGCACTATGGGAAGCTGAGGTGGGCAGATCACTTGAGGTTGGGAGTTCGAGGCCAGCCTGACCAACATGGAGAAACCCCGTCTCTACTAAAAATATAAAATTAGCCAGCGTGGTGGCGCATGCCTGTAATCCCAGCTACTCAGGAGGCTGAGGCAGGAGAACTGCTTGAACCTGGGAGGCAGAGGTTGCAGTGAGCCAAGATCACACCATTGCACCCAGCCTGGGCAACAAGAGCAAAACTCTGTCTCAAAATAAATAAATAAAATGTGCACAATTAATTTGCCAGTTAATTAAAAAGTATATGACATTTTAAAATTGGGCAATTTTGGAAATACTCGATCAGAATTTAAACATGTCAACTGGAAGAAGAGAGGAATGAACTCATGATGAAGACAAATCTTAGTTTTTACTTTTTTTTTCTTTATCAACTCTCTGACATTAATATGGAATTTCTAATTAGAAGAAAAATGGCCACGAAATGGACAAAAGGATAGTAAAAGTGAAGAATAATTCATTAAAGAGGATATTGTGCTGTAAATAATTGAGAGTTGATTACAAAAAAGAAGATATTTCTTTAAAACTTGTCATTTGGGGTAAGATTTCCCAAACTATTTTGCTTTTCTTCATGCTGCTTATATCAATCTTAACTCAATTATCTCATACAATTCCAATGTAGTATTGTGAACAACATAATCCCTTTAACATTGTTCTCCTCTCTGTACTTGCCCCTGTGTCACTTAGAATTCTTTCACACAATAAAAGCCTCAAATTAATAAAGTGCTTCTCTTAGAAAATCAAAATGCTTTCTCCACGTTACCATTTAATTACGTCTCAAAGCATTCCTCTGTGAAGTGGGTGTGTGTTAGGAAGAGGAATTAGTCTTTCCCATTATGACACACAGGAAACAGCTTGGAAGAACAGATCATTTCCATCCACAGGTAACTTGATGCTAGTTCAGTTCGGTTCAAGGTTGTTGACTGGGTTCTTCCAGTATACCCAGTTTTCAAACAGAATCTTGCTAATGGACTCAATCACCCAGTAAACCAGCACATAATTACTGGATACCTACTATATATTAGACTCTGTTCTAGACATTGAGGATAGAGCAGTGTGAACAGAAGAAGAAAAATCTCTGACCTTATGGAACTCGAAGTTTTCTAGGAGGAGACAGACATCAAGCATAGTAGATAACATTGTACAGTGTGTTAGAAGGAGATAAATGCTCTGAAAGGCAAGTAAATCAGTGTAAGGAGAAAGTGGAATGCAGGGAAGGTACATGGTTTTCTGTAAGGTGGATAGAGTAGCCCTCACTGAGAGGACGCCATTGGAGTAAAGCAAGAGCATCCAAAGCAGGGGGATCGGCCAGCGCGAATGCCTGGAGGCGGCAGCATGCTCGGAGTGTTTATGGAACCCAGGAAGGCAGTGTGGCTGGGACAGAGTAAATAAGACGGAAAGGGGCACAAATTGAGATCAGATGTGGCCGCAGAATGTTCCAGAAGGGCCTTTTTGGCATTTTAAAGACGTCTTGCCCTTTATGCAACGTGGGATGTTTTGAAGGATTTTAAGTAGAGAAGGCGGCCATGTTGAGAACAGACATAGGTGGGAAGGGATGCAGAGACCGGTTAGAAAGTCACTGCCTTCAACCAAGAGAGATTCAACGGTGCCTCCAAGCAGGGAGGAAGCAGAGGAGATGTTGAGCAGTGACCAGATTCTGGATGCAGTTTTTAGGCAGACCCAGTGGGACTCACTGATGGAACTGCATGTGAGCTGTGAGAGAAAGGAAGGACTCTTATCTTCTGAATGAGACTGGGAGCTCCTTGAGGACAAAAGTCACCTGTTATATTTCTTTATGATCTTTATAGAAACTGAGAAGGCTTCATACACAATAAATACATCACTAAGTTTTTGTTAAATGAAAAAAGGAGGGAAAAAGCAAGTCTGTATCAATAGACTTGGGGTTCCTATGCCCATAATGATTTGCAAAAATAGACGCTGTTTCCTGCATTTCCAAAAAATCTTAAAAATTGACTATTATTTCCCCAAGGTAACGCTATTGAAGCTAAAAAAAATCTTTAAATGTCTTTGTTTGGGCTGGAATTCATTACCTTGATGAGGTAACAGGTCTTTTATCTGCTATTTAGAAGTTCTGCCTGGCATGTAAAATGGATGTATTATTACCATTTAATTTGTTTGACGAAAATATTAATAAAATACAGGGCTTACAAGAAAAATAGTAAAATGCTTTGGATATAATGATTGGGAATCACATATTCACATGGTTTTTAAAGAAAGAAACCTCCCCCCTCAAAAAAAAACCACTCTGCAATATCTATACTTTCTTTTTTATTCTTGTTTACAACATAAAGTTCTCCATTGTCTAGAAAGAAAGCACAAAAGAGAACATGTTAAATCTTATGATGGGTTTTTGGAGATGATCTAGTCTAATTCACTAAGTTTATATTTGAAAAATATCAGTCGTAGAAACATTAAGGTGATAGACATAATTTTGTTTCCAATACACCGTAACACAAATTCTAAGTTGTCGAATGAGGCCTAACAAATAACAGTAGAAGAATTGTGAAATATGTTATTTCTTGAATCTTCCTTCTTGATATTTGCTTGGCAACAGTAATTAGCCACAAACAATCTTGAGTCATAACTGTCCAGAGAGCACGGTGAGAGGTAGGTGTGTGGAAGGATGGCAGATGAGGGAGAAAATAGAATGAGAGGCACCTTGATGGGAGAACTCTAGCTTTTTTAAACTCATACTGTTGCTAGGAGGCATTTGTGCATAATTTTTCACAGGGCTTTACAGTCACACACCGTCATATTTGAGTCAAAACTCTGATATTTAGAAGGTGTGTGACCATGGCCAAGTTTCCTAACTAGGACATCGGTGTCTTTGCATACCTTATAGGGTAAGTTTTGTCAGCTATGGTAAGACTATTTTTAATATGGTTAGAGATAGCAGGAATTCAATACATGATATTTTTATTACTAGTAATTTTCCTAATGGGTTTCAGCATTTCTTGCCTTTGTGTTTGAATAGAAACGCCTTCACCCTTCATATACTAGATATCCTGCTAGTCCTTGAAGAGCCCGGTTTGAATGTCAGTCTCTCCTTCAGTAGTTCATACACTGTCATTCAGTTTTTCACTTACATGCAGCTATTTGTTTCAAGATCTTATCTGCCTAAGTTGGATTTCTTGTGGAATAGTGAAAAGAGCCCAGAAGTCGTGGATTTGAGCTCGGCCACTCTTTCATGAAAGTGGGACCCTTATGAATATAATGGAATGAGGGATATAATATAAGAACTTACACAATTGTTGAGAAAGTTATTTTCCAGAAGAAGGAATTCACAGATCTGAGAAAAGTCACTATTGGGTTCCATGAGGTCCTCGTGTGGATGGGCAAATCAGAGCTGCCAGGGGAATCTGGGAGGCCCGCCACATCCAGGAGGGGGGCCCTGAAAGAAAGCTGGAAGAATACTCAGTGAAAAGCTTTTGTCTTTGCCTGGCTACTGCCTCTTTGGATCCATGTTAAGGCCCTTGTGATGGGTGTGTTGATCAGCTGTGCTGGAAATTTGGAAGATCTGGGTATGAAGTGGGGGAGGGCCAGAACATGCTAGAACCCTCCAGGTCTCCGCATGTGTTGTCACAGCAAACTACAAAGACCTTGAGAGAGGAATAGATACTGTTTCACTCTGCTTCCCAAATCTTGCACAAATTCCTCTTTGGGCCAACTGTACTCACATGCATACAGGCAAGAGGAACCTGAGAAACACTGTTCCAGCTAATGAAGTCCATAGAGTACAAACCACCACTGCCACTTCTTGGCTATGTTGGTTGTACTGGGAAGTTGACCCAACCTTTTTGATCCTCTCCTTCCTTATTATTGTATTGATGTAAATGAGATAACTATTATAACTACCTTTATAGGGTGATTAGTAAGAATTAAATAAGATAATGCAAAAAAAAATCCATTACAAAATACATAGCTGGATGCGGTGGCTCATGCCTGTAATCCCAGCACTTTGGGAGGCCAAGGTAGATGAATCACCTGGAGAAGTTCGAGACCAGCCTGGCAAACATCTCTACTAAAAATACAAAAATTGGCCAGGCCTAGTGGCGCATGCCTGTAATCCCAGCTACTCAGGAGGCTGGGGCAGGAGAATCACTTGAACCTGGGAGGCAGAGGATGCAGTGAGTGGAGATCACGCTACTACCCTCCAGCCTGGGTGACAGAGCAAGGCTCCATCTCAAAAAAAAAAAAAATTACAAAATACAGAAGAACTTATCAGATTACTGTTGCTAGATACATCCATTCATTTCATTAATGTATGTTTATTGTGCATCTACTATGCACCAGCAACTATACTATGCCTAGGATCCAAGGCAGTGACAATATCCTTGCTATCTTCAAGCTGAATGAGACATAATTAGATATTCAAGTGGAGATGTAAAGCGAGCATTTGACAGACTGGATTTCAGGGGATAGGCCCTGGTTTAAAACATACATTTGGAAGTTATTAGTGTTTAATAATGAAACTCTAAAATGTATGAGCCTGAATTAGGTCACCTTAGGTAAAATACATGTAAATTGAGAGGAGAAGAGGTTTAATGTCTAAGATCCGAGACACTTCAGAATTTGGGGGTCAAAAAGATAAAGAGGAACAAGGAAAGAGGGTGAGAAAAAGCAGCCAGTAAGGCAGAAAGAGAACTAATAGAGAGTGGTGTCCAGGTTAATTTATGCTGAAAGATCAATTCATATGACAATTGAGAATTGACCATCAGCTTAGCACATGGAGGTCATTTGCCAAAGTGGAACAGGTTCAAAACGTAATGGAAAGAAAGATTTTGGCATAAAGGGAAGCAGGAAAATAGGGTGGCAACAAGTGGGAAGGGTGTCAAGAGATATTATATATATATGTTTATGTGTGTGTATAATTTATATATATAAGTTAAATAGAGCCAATTATATATATAGTATATGTATGTGTGTGTGTGTGTGTGTGTGTATATAGAGAGAGAGAGAGCTTGGGTGCAGCTTCCTATGAGGATGGAACCTTTACCCAGAGATGCAAACGAGGAGGAAGACTGCTTCCTTCAGGCGGTTCTCTCTTAAGAGGAAAATGTTCAAACTGAGTGAGCGTGCCCAGTTGTATCTGCAAATGTATTAATCCAAGTCACGCAAGTCACATCAACTTCTCAGGAGCAGACTGAGCAAAAGGGAAGAGAGAGGGGTGAAAGGAGGGATAAGTAGATTTCAGCGAGAGCAAGAACATTAAAGAAATATTTCGAGAAGTTGAAAACGAAGAGAATTTTGCTGAAGAAGATTCTAAGTTCCAGAGGCTACAGTGGTAAGATGTGGGGAGCTGGAGTGGGAGACAGGTCAGACTAGAGTGTGTGTAGTTTGAGACAACGATATTTCTCCTGTAGTGCTTGGAACAGGGGCTAGGTTAGATAAATATTTGTTCCTTGAGAGAAACCTGACAAGACCTGCATGGGGCTGGGGTAATACATTGGTCCACATGGACCCCTGTTTGCGTAGAAGTGTTCATCTCCAATAAGGTCTACTCTGCTTACACCAAGGGGTCAGGAAAGGCTGACCTTGATTATCTTCTCCTTCTGTCCCTCCCTCTCCTCCACACCTGGCCCAGCAGAGGAAGGAAAACTAGCTTGACAGCTGACCTTGATTATCTTCTCCCTCTGTCCCTCCCTCTCCTCCACAGCTGGCCCAGCAGAGGAAGGAAAACTAGCTTGACAGCTGCCCAGCCCTTCCCCTGAAAGTCAGAGGCGCAGGTTGCTTTACTACAACCGAGGCAAAAGTGGTTTGTCTCCTTCATGTCGTTCTAATCCTTACAGAAGAATTTGTGGCAGCAATACGAAGACTATAGCTAGGAGGATCAGCACCTCGGAACCTCTTTGCAACTTGCTAGAGGATGAGGGCAGTGGGCAAGAGGAAAGTTCCTCTGAGCACCTTCTGTGAAAAGGAGAAGCCGGGCCTTGGGGATGTTCCTTCAGTTTCACAAGTGGCAAGATTTTCACCTCCGGTTGGCAGCTTTCAAATCGTTTCCCATTTCTCCAACTTAGGAAGAAGCTGTGAAAGCCGCAGGCAAACGGGGATGAATGATTCATTTGGTCCTGGCTATTTCCTTCACTCCTAGGATGTCTCAATATCTACTCTGTTATTTGAGAATAATAATAATAATAATAATAATAAATCATCTGCTTCCCTGGGACTTTCAGCGGAGTCGTTAGGCACGTGATGAAACCTTGGGTTGCACGGGGCTCCATTCATCCATTCATCCGTCCGTCCATCCGTCCAACCATTCACTAGACCACCCACCCACCTACCACCCACCCATCCATCGCAAAGCCTTTCTCCCTTTCCGGCTTACACTGGGCGTTAAACTCCGGTCTCTCCAGGCCTCTGGCGCACGTACACACGCGCGGGCGGGCGGGCGGGGTGTGCGGGAGGGCGGGCTGGCCGCGCCGGGGGCAGGACTACAGCCTCCCGAGGGGCGCGAGGGCGGGGAGGCCGGGGAGGCCCGGGAGGCGCGGGCGGTGTGGCGGCGGCCGAGCCGAGCCCATCCGAGCCGGCACCTTCGGACGCCCCTGTCCCACGTGACTGTCCCCTCCTCCCTCCTCCCAGTCGCGCGCACGGGCCGGGCGTCTCGACTCCCGCGCGCGCTCGGCTGGTCCCAGTCCCCGGGAGAAGAAGCGGAGGAGGGAGCGAGCCAGCGAGGCGGCCCAGGGGAGCGGGCGCGAGTGGCGGCTGCCGGAGCCGCCTGTGCACGGGCGGCGGCGAGGCGAGGGTGGCGGTCGCCTGAGCAGCGACAGCCGGGGCGGCGCGGAATCCGCATCCGCCGCGAGTGTGATGAAGCTGCCCTGCCTCGCTGCTCCGCTTGCCGCCAGCTGACACCGCCTGCACCCAGCCCGCCCGGGAGCGGAGACGCCGCGGGGCCGTGACCTTGGCGGAGGAGGTAAATAGGGGAGGCGGGCGGGGAGGAGGCAGCGCCACCCAGAGCCCTCCCGGCCCCCGGCCCGCACCCAGCCCTCGGTCTGCGCAGCGGGAGCGTCGGCTGGCGCAAGGCGGCCGCCCCCGGGAGCCCCGCGCCGGGGCTGTGTTACCGGCGCAGCGCGCACCCCGCGGTCCACGGTGCTGAAACTGCTGCCCGGCTCCGGCGGCCGCCGCGGCGCGGGGCACAGGCTCGCCTGCCATTTGCTGCTGCTGTGAGAGCGAGCAAGGGGAGCTGGGCTTGCCTGTTTTCTCCTCTTTGGCTGGTTGCTCTGGAGGCTTCTGCAGTTAGACTTTTACCCACAGTGACCCGGGTGAAATGGCCCGAAGGCTTGACCTCCCACTAGTTCTTGTTGCCGGGACATGTTCTGGTGTCTTCTTGCAAAAAAATTAGGCAGGATTACCTCCGGACTTCCGAAGCCAAGTGGGGAGAAAGGAGAGCAGCCGGTGGCTGGCAGCGCAGGCAGGTGAAAGTAGGCGAAGCACATACTCTGGCTCTGTGTGGGAGACCCGGGGGAATAGAGAGGAAACCATGTGCTGGAGAATGACACCGGGAATGGGCCTCTCTGATGCGCTGCAGGTGGGGACACTAGACAGATACCTGGGAGAAAGTGTACTGCCCCGCCCCGCTCCCGCCCCCCAGGTGTTGCCTTTCCACCCTTTGGGGAAAGCATCACTAAGTGCAGGTGCAAGTATTGGGAGAGAAGAGAACTCTGTCCTAGGGAAATGCTACCGATGAGTTTTTAGGGTGAGCATCAAACACTTCTCAAAATGAGTATCCAGAAAATGAAGTCAGCTCAAACGATAACCAAATGGCTATTTCTACCTGGAAGATTGTAATTTCTTATAATTCCTTGAGGGTATTATAGGTGTCAACTAATTTTTTTAAAAATCCATGTCCTGTGTCACTTTCTCCAGCCAGCCCCAGTTTGTAAGAACGCGCCATGTGGGGTGGGTGTTGTGAATGATGACGATGAATCAGGGGAGTCCCCTAAGCACCACCACTGGGATCTCACTGAAGTCTCTCTAACCCTTTGCAGGGCACACTGAGAATTCTCGTATCTGAGAGCGGACCAAGTTTTGAGCGACATGGCCCAGGGGAATAATTACGGGCAGACCAGCAACGGGGTGGCCGATGAATCACCTAACATGCTGGTGTACAGAAAGGTAAGAATGTCTTCAGTTTCTTGGAAAACGGGAAACTTCTGGCTTTCTCGATGTTTTTCTCCTTCTAGATCAGAGTATGTATCAACTTTGTGGCCTTGTGGATTCCCCAAATCATCAGTGATTACGTACTGTATACGTGAAAGTGATCTGACATTCTCCAGTGATGCATACATGGAGAAACACGTTGAAGTAAATAAGGCCTCCTCCCATGTTCCCTGCTGGTTTTGCATAGATTATTCTGTCATGAGCAATAACAGCAAATTTGGGCATTCCAGATATTTTGGTTGTTATACACATGATTTAGTAGCATCCAGAATAATTTTAGAAGCTTTTTCTTATACTCACCTCTAAACATTTAGGTTATAATAATTGCGTAAGCGTATCACATTTTAGAAATAAAAATAGACCACTTTGCAGTTTTGTGGCAAGAGAGAGAATGTGTTTGTGTAAATGTATGTGGTTTAATAGTTTTGTTCTTGACTAGTCAATTCTAGTCTTTTTTTGTCTTAGCCTAAATTATTTTTTACTTTCTGTTACTTTTATGATTTGGGGTATTTATGTGTATTTATATTCTAGTGCCATATACCTGTTAAATCATTAAATAATATTTATCTTGCAGAGTTGCTTTTTTTTTTTTTTTGGGCCACAAATAGGTTTGGCAGCCTTATACGTTTAATAGCAATGCTACCGGCAACAAACTTTTAGACATTGAGCAACCATAATAAAGGTGCATTTAAATATTGCATGTGCTTTCGAGTGGTTGCTTAGGCAACTTCACTCTGGTTATCATCAACAATCTTACTAAAATTAAGGATGCAGTATTCTTCTGCACCAATCATTTTTATTGCATTTTATAAATGATTTTTTAAAGTATATTATCTGGAGTGCTTATTGGGCAATATTTCTTTGGTTAACACTCACATGGTAAAAAGGAAGTCATACTTTGAAACACCCCAAAATTGTTAAAGGTTTTAATTTGAGAGAAGCCCATTGAAGAGTTCAAGATGTTTGCATTTATCTCTTTTTCAGTAAGAGGATCAGAACTGATTATGAATAAAGATGAAAGACTGTGTCCTACTTTAACCTCCACTAAATCAAAACTTTTCATCCGTGTAGCCCAGAATCATTAAAAGGTAGTGATGAATATGTGTTTGAGGGAGTATTGCTATGGCTTTAACGGAAAGATGCGCAGGCGTCCTGGTACAATGCTAGCTGTTTTATTCTCTAGCGTTGGCAAACAGTACTATATTGTGTACTTATGAATGCATTTACATGTGTGTGAGATAAAACAGTATGATGGGAAAGAGAAATCAGAACCTAGTTGTCTATGTTAGTCTTAAAGCATTCCAAGTGCGTAAATCAGGAAAATAATCCACTTGAGTTTAAATTACTAGTATTGTATTTTTAAGTTAATTGAATTAACTGGATACTTGTCTATTCTATTTAGAGTTGGTTTTGAGAAGAAATATTTTGGGGGGAGTTGGGTGGTTTTAAATGTCATAATATTTTGTATTTTTGGTAAAACTCTGAATATTGTAATATGCAAGCTGTGAGAATTTTGAATTCTATCTTATGGGTGTATACAATGTGAAGAGTTAGACTTTTGGTTGGAAAAATATTGGTTGGAAAAACATAGTAGTAAGCTATTTCCGTTAGACTAAACAATTGTATTCCCTCTCTGTTTCCCTTTAAAAGATTAAGGACTGAGTAGATTGGACACCTAATAGTTATCTTCATTAGAAATAAACTAAATATGCAGCAACCCGTGTGTGTCAGTCAGTTAGTTATTTTGAGAACAAATAAAATAAGAAGACAGGGCTTTTAGAAATAGTTATTTGACTGTTTAGTGTATCTGAGCCTCACATTGGTAATTTTGGGTTTACTCTATACTGTGTTGTATAGCATCAAATCGCCATTGATTTTACTTTTAAGTTAACAGACTGTAATGATTTCAGGAAGAGAATGTACTACCTCATTTTTTGAAAGCATGATTATTTTGTTGATTAAGCTTAGAACTGCTTGTGCTACTCATTTTTCCCTTCTTTTATTAGCTCCTTGCTTAGGATTAGTGACCACATATAACTTACTTTTCAAAGAAAGATTTTCCTGATAAATCATTATTGGAAAAAATAACTCATTTCAGTAAATTTTACTCTTAATGCTTACCTATGGATTGTCTGTCTATTCTTGTATTCTCTGAGCATTTGTTTTTTGTTTTTCTTTGTGATAGAAATAATAATATATAAATAATATCAGATAATGTGTAAAGAGACACAGTGTCCTTGCTTGTCATTTGCTAGTTATCAGGTCAAACTGTCTATATCTGTGTGTAGACGTAGATCGGGACATCACATATTTCATGTGTCCATTATGCTTCTATTTTTTCTGTCTTATATGGGCTTTCCATTCAATATCTTCTCAGTAGAGGCCAAATTTCAATGTGAAGAACAACAAAATAATTGGAGAGGGGTGTTGGTTGAATATGTGTGTTAGGATATTTCAACTGCTCCGCCTTCATAAAAGAATAAACACTAGATTACAATGCTTATTAGTCAGGAAGTCAATCAAAGACTTAGAAAAAAACTTCAGTTCCAATAGGACATTGCTTAGTAACAGTGGAGAGAAAGGATAGAGGAATTGCTGTTCTATCGACTCATGCCCATTTTCCCTTCTACTTCACTATTGAAGCATCATTCTTGAAAGTGTGTTCTGAACTGGGAGCATTCGTGGTGTTTTGCCTGCTCGTGACACCTCCTGTTTACTTATTGCGTACGACTCTGAGGATTTACAAACACTCAAGATATGTATGTGCTCTTTCCATTTTATCTCCATAGGCTATTGGTTTCCAAAGTGGAAAACACAGAAAAGCTGTAAATTTCTTGTGTTTGTTTGATCTCTCTCTCATTATTGCTATCCTCATACAAATTACAGGAGTTCCTCCAAATCACGGAAAAATTCCAGGGATCTGTTTTCCATGGAGAAGTTCATAGGAATCTTATGGAAAAAATGTACAGTGGATAAAACTCTGACTGTTAAGGTAGAGTGGATGTCACCCTATTGAAGGGCACAGGTGATGGTAATGCTGCTTCATGATCCGAATTAGGGTTGCTACTTGCAAGTCAGTCTTGGATGTTGGCTGGTAGGTTTTTGGCGTAATACAGGGAGTCTCAATAGAGTTCATCTGATGTCAGAGACACATTCTAAAAATCCGTATAGCCAAAGTATTTGCCTTCTCAGTTCTATTTAGAGGGCTGTCTTTTCATAAGCAGGTGATTAAATTACAATGGTTATGTTGTTTTATGTACTTGAGGACGTCTCATTTAAAAGCACATAAAATCTTGTGGCTTGACTGCTTTTATTCCTGGCACTTTTTAGGCCTCCTTCAGACAGGCCCCTAACTAGATTACAACTAGAAGTCATCAACCGCCTTGGGAAAAAGAGACCCAACTAGCTCCACGAGGTGCTGGATTCAGATCAGCTTCTTGAAGAATCTTTAGAGGTGATAAGTCAGAACTCAGTGTGACTTGGTGTTGATGGATCTTAAACAATACCCCCATTTTTGGTCGGCTTTGGACAAAACTCTCCTTTGTGGGGGCAGCACTGGCCATAAAGAACAACTGAGTACAGGGAGAGAGACTCCGAATTTGGTGTCTGGCCAGCATGCTGTCCACTAGACAGTATACATCACTTTCAGTCCAGCAGCTGACATTCCTGCATTTGAAAAACAAAATTTCTAGGGCACCTTGAAGCCAGAGCTTCAAACTGGCTGGATTGCTGGCTTCTCACTCGTAAGACTCCTCAAAATGCTCATTAATTTCTGATATTATTGCAGCAATCATTTATGCTCAAGCTGTCAGAAAAGAAAATGAAAATGTTTTCCCATTCATTATCTTACTGCAGTAAACATGGTTTTGGAAATAGCAAACTTACCAAGTTCACTGTTCCTCCCCCATCTCCTTCTTCCCCTTACCTTTCTCCTACTCCCATTCTCTCCTCCATTCTCCTCTCCTGTCTCTTCATCCTTATATAGTCGCTTGCTTTGCATTTGTTTGTTTTCATTTTTTTCATTTCAAACCTGACTTAAAGTTGAAGACATAAGTTGCACTGTTTATTTAGTCATAAAGGAGGAAACAATGCCTTTTGGGGAAGAGAAGAGATGACAGCCTTGTTACCTGTGAAGCTCAGGTGCCTGGATAAA